TAGCTGGAATGACCTGTAAACAGTTCAGGTAAGAAAAATCAAGCGGTCTCCCTTCCCACTCCCTCTCCGCGGCTTGACGCCAGTTTTTTGATATTCAGACAGATTTGTGAACAATTGGGAAAATCGTCCTTTTCTCTATCATGAAGCGGATTAGTTTTCCATTTTTTGAAGGGTTTTTCCATAACCCGTTTCCCACCGTCTATTTGTGAATGGATGGTGGTATTATAGGCTCTTACAGTCCATTTTTAGCAGTTAATGACTGGTTTATGGTCTGGGACGTATTGGTTTGTCACACTATTATACGACGCTATCGTAGTGGCACTAGTATGCTTGGCAATATTTGGCATTATTGCAATTTTTGTTTCGGGCGTCAGTTGGCTGTTCCTGTAAGTTTTTTTCCGAGGCACATTCCGTGATAACCCAAAAGGCCAGGGAAGGGCGGTGATTCACATTTGTTAGGCCTTTTTCGCTAATGCCCTCTGGGGTTACCCTACAATGAGGCGCTGCGCAACTGCACGCGTCTGGAGATGGCAGCTCCTCTCTCAACAGCAGTGTAAGACAATATTCAAGGTTGAGTGCTGGTTCACAGGTGATTATAGCCCAAATACTAATATTGCTACGCTAATTTTTTCTCTTTTCGGCGCCTTATCGCGGAGTCTCCCTTTTAGTGGAGCAGAATTCAGCGGCTAAGACAGCATTTGATCCTTCGGACCGGCTAGCAACGACCACACTGCTTAACATTTTGCGAACTTTTGCCGAATTCCTCGATTTTTAGTGGTTTACCACCCAATTTTTCAGGGGATTAATGTGCCTGTACTGTGTGATCAACCTTCCATTAGTGTACTTGGTGTCTTCGATTCTATGCTGTGTCGGTGGCTCGTTTTTATTTCTACTCATTTTTCAATCACTCGCTTTTATACCCCCTCTTATTGTTGGTCTATACCTCAAAAAACCGGTAAGACTTGTTTGATAATTGACTGAAGCTCGTCGTGGCCACTCGCGACGCTGCGAAAGTGCGTGAACTAGGCTAGCAAACTCGAAGGCACTCCAATTGATTAAAAAACTTACAAGTCAACGCATGTCGCTATTTCTCCCAACGGCAGATTTAACGGGATCCAAGCCACACTGCGAGGGTCCAGAAGAAAATGAGAAGCAGAGACCCAGAAGCTTCAATGCAGACTTCAGGAAGTGTCCCAATTTGTCCTCTGAAAATGCTAAGTAAGGGCTCAGCATGATCTGCGTCTCCTTGAAGGACCCACGAAGGGACAAGTTGAATGGAGTGGTTACTTGGGCGCGTGGGCCGATTGCCTATGCAGCGTCGTTGGATGGGAGAGGTATTCAATTTAAGCAACTGCCTATGTATTTCTGATTCAAATGGTCTCATTACTATCGCATAATTAAGGTGTCAGGTTCCACCCTAGATCCGTTTTCCCGCTCCGCGTATTCCAAGCTCATACGCGCGTGTGGCAAATGAGTTTCCGATAATTTGATCACTCTAAAGAGTAGACGAGTTTTCAAAATCGGCATAATATTTCCAGACATTCGTACGCTACCTTCGCGCATCCAAGCACAGCGTTTATGTCCGCCGTACTTGCCGAATTCAAAAAGAGGAATTTCATGGAGATTCGTATGTTTATTTGAGACTACCGTAGATATTTTGGCGGTATCGTAATTGGGAGGGAGGGGGGGGCGGGGTGTAAACCATTCTGCCGCTCTCTGTATCCCTTCCGAAAAGGCTCAGGGCCTAAACGAGACGTCAGAGTTGCTAGGATAGTCTTAGGGCGGTGGGATTTTCAGTTTTCAGCCTAAAGCCTTGATTGTTGTTGGGAAAGGGATTACACAGGCGCTGTATCCATCCCCATGCTCCGCTCCCAAACTACGTTAGCACCGATGTTTCCAGATGGAGTCCCAGCGTTTCAGCGTTTATTCACTGTGTGCTCGCATTGGCTGCCAACGGATTGGCGTATCTTTTCCTACTAATTCTCTACGAATCATGTATATGGACGGCAATACTACACCTGTTTCAAATGCGGAAGTTCAAGGAGAATATGGTACTATATTACCTCTGCTTTTTCTATTTTTGCAGGAGAATCCTTTAGAATCCTTTTCCTCGGTAGTCACGAGGTCCACTTCCTTCTCTGGATTCATTCTTCACCTTCTCCCGTTTCTAGAGTATATTTTTTTGGGGCTGGTACACGTCCTGAAGTTGCGAGGAAATCGTGGAATACGGTCCCTTCAAAAATTTTTTGCCTGGTACGACCCCCACCCATTTCCTTCCACTTCTGATTTTCCCAATTTCTTCTACTTTTCCGCTGTTTTTTTCCAACAGTTGTTGCACTTTTTCCCCAAGGAAAGGCTATCGAGCGGGGGAGGGATGGAAGGATAGGTCCTCCAGCGACCAAATGCGGTCGCTGGGAGGACCTATGCAAACAATGACCAATGCAAACACCCCGCTTGAGATCTTCAGCGTACGACGTGCCGCGGTCGTGGCATTGATATCGGTGAGGTCCTTTATCTCTTTTTCAGCCCTGCTCATGATCCAGTATGGAGCGTGCGTAGGAGAGCCACCGATGGGGGAGGGGTGGTAAATTGGCTTGGCGAACATCCTTTATTGAATTTTCCATTTCATTCCCCTTTCTCTAATTTGGCGACGCGGCGGTAATTTCACTATTTCTAAGAGTTGATAGTAGTCGCCTCTACCAACCAACAGACCACCCCGCTCGATCAACGTCGTTTCTGGGCGCTTCTTAATGAAAGTGCGCCGCAACACGCCCTTTTCTACTTTTTAGCGCTATCCCACTCAGTTGCGGGCTCTGGTGTGGTGATACTTTCCTCTAGACCAAATGTCTGTAATTGCAGTCAACGTCAACAATACGTGTTGGTAATGACGTCACTGAAGAGAAAGAGCGTCTGAACAAATTTAATGCAAAATCGGCACTAATAGTGAAGGTAAGCGACGTAAACAGCTTGCTCCCTATGGTTCGAGGATAATTTCTCCCTCTAACTTCTCACATGAAAGGTTCAGAGAAAAGGGCGCTATTTGGCTTGGGGGGCATTTCGCATTTGCCTGACCCTTTCGATAGTACATGTAAGTAACAGGTCTAGCTATAGTCGGACCTGTAAACTTCTGTGAAGGTCCGAGATTGTTCAAGTGAGCCACTTTGGTAACGGAATTAAGAGGTCATCACAAGTTGGCCTGTAGAAGCTTATTAGCTGAGCACCAGCTGATGCCCTCACTAAGCCGAATCGCGCCGAGAAAAGATTTAGATTGTTTCAGGAATTGAACAGTACTGAATGGACATTACGCTCATTAGTGTGCCTAGCACCAACAGAATCCCCTTGAACGACCCCTGAAGGAGTAGTTAGTAGCAGAGTAAAGCTGAGAAGAGAAAACCCTAGGAGAAATTTCTTAACCACACTGCGAGAATCGAGAAGAAAAAGAAAGTGCTAGGAGATCCTAGGCACCCAGTTCTAGGTTGACAATTGCCCTAAGAGAGCGAAATTTCCACCAATACACAAGCGCAGCACTGAGAAATGCGGCCATGTCGTTCTACTCTGATACGGCGTCAAGATATTTCGTTTTTCAGAATCTTACCAAATATCACGGAAGTCAATGTCATGTTAAAAAAATCAACTTCGGCATAGATATGGGTGGAAAATTTGGGCTAGTGGGAGTAAGCGGTTCTGGTAAAACGACAGCGTTTCAACTACTTGCTGGTTTGAAGCGTCCATCAGATGGTAGCGCTGTTCTTTATGGCAAGGACACGTACAGTCTTTGGGTAAGTTTTTCCAAATATTCTCAATTACTTTCCTTGTCCGTTAACGTGCGGGGAGGCCCTATCGAGAAACTGCCGTCGAACGGGAGGATGGGGAGGAAGGGGGGG